AGTAATGTATCAAAAGTTTGAACAATCAATAATATGTTAAAAGCCTGAAAAGAAATTCACTTTTTTTTATCTCGCCCCGTGGTCATGCTGCTGTCTCCTATTGGTGGTGGAGGCGACAGGAAGGATGTTGGTGTGTTTGATAAACTGTTGACCACTAGTGTAGACTTTTGACCAGCAGAGGCTGGAAATACTTGAACACCCCTTTCTGGCGAGACTGGGGGTGTGTTTGCATACTGTTGATCCCAGTTATCTTGACTATAAGGTCTCAGTGGTGTTCTTCCCACTTCTGGTGACCAGCAGGTGCAGTGGGCTCCAGATGATCTTGAGTTTGATGATATACTTTTCGACATTAGGCTACTTGTTATTCCTCTGATACTACCAATTAGAGCTACAGCTGTCAGTCTTTAAAGTTGGCGGTGTAGAAGATCACATTGTTGGGCTATCAGTAGGAGACCATTCTGTATTAATATAATATGAAAGCCTGAAATGGATTCATCCAGGAAGTTATCATAAATATGATATAAATGGTATTACTGGAGCAGCATTTAGGAGAAAATCAAATCAAATATGAATTAATATTACTTTTCTCCATTAATTTATTACAGCTTTTAAATGACCATTAACTCAGTAAATAGTTCCTAATCATTTCTGCAGTTATTAAATTTGAAATTTATACTAAATCATTGAACTCTTATCTATTTAGTAACTTTCGACTCAATTAATTTATCCATATTCATCGTGTGTGGGAAATGTTTCTTTATTTAGCTTTGCGCTACTTACTTTTGAATACTGTGGCACGTTCAAAGTTTCAAAGTACAAAATAACACACATTCCAACAATTTTATTTTTATTTAGTTGCTTAGAATTTATGAATTCAATCTTTCATCTACGTTATAAAAAGGTCTCACATATTTTGTTAAGGGCTTATTCGGGGTCTTTGTGCGACTTTGCTAATGATTCATTAAAGTAAAAATATTAATTCTATAATATACAATATATTGATTTAATTATTTGCATAAAACAAAATATGGAAAAAAAAAGACTTAGGCCTAAAATACGACAATCAACACTGTGTACTTGTTAGCGCAAGCTTTGCAGAGACTTTCAGTGTACGTTGGCTCAAAAATATACATGGACAGTTTGAGGCAATATCTTCTGGCAACTTACCAACTTTATATTTTACTACGTATACGCATATTGGTTACAGAACTACATGCCAAGAAACAAACGCATACTTTCACCCATAATTATAAAACTCACTTATAAAACTCAAGATAAATAATAACCCCATCAGTTTTCAGAATGTTAAATAATGATACTAGCTTGACATTCCCTAAAATCCAATATAGCGGCAAATTCATGTAGGATTCTAAAATAAGCCTAAAGGACGAAACAAAATATGTCCTACTCGAATACGTCAGGTAGACTATTCAGAAAATTCATTAAAAGGTAAAACTTTGGGGGGGGGAACTTTCAGTATCGTTTTATATAACAGTGTATTAAAACTTGTTAAGAAGTTTCTGAGCTTATATCGTCCGACAAGCAAGTTAAGTTTCTGAACTTATATCGTCCGACAAGCAAGTATTCACAACCAATACATAACCTTTTGAGCTTCTGCCACACAAGCTCCATATCATATTTGTAAAACGTGCTATCTTATATATATTGTAAACTGTGGTGCCTGTCCGAGCGTTAGTCTGTCTCCAGTTTGAAAAGTTACGCACGCAGGCAAAGCTGAACATTCACTTTCACAAATGACAGGAGAACAAGCACGAATAATGTTGATGCCAAATTTTATTTCGCAAGCAGGATATTCTACACTAAATTGTTAGGAATTAATCACATTATCATTCACATTTCGAAATGTGGCGTAACTTAAAGAATATAAATGTAGATTTACCGTATGTTGTTGTTGAGTGACTCTTAGCATGACTGAAATACTCAACAATTACATTTCTCTGTGGGCGGTATAAGTAGTTTAGAGCTTTAGCTCTGAGTGAAGCCAAGAATGTAACACAATTAAACTTTTAAAAAAGTCCATGAAATAATATAAATTGATAGATTAACTTAAACATTTCCCATAACGGGGGACGGGTACTTTTGCTTATTTATTTATATATGCAACACAGTTCATGTGACGTGTCAAGTGATTGTTCTTTATGGCTCATCTTCAAAACAATATGTGAGAAAACGATATGAATTTCTAAAGGACATTGCTGAGGCTGTCGGTCTAGTCGAAGCATTGTTATTAAATAACGTTTCTTTAACCGACTTTTCAAAGATATCTGAAACCAAAGTCTACTAACAGTGGTAATCGAAAAGGAACATCTCGGCCACATAAAAGAAAAACAAAAACGCGTGATCTCCAGTTTGAAGGATTATCGTTAAAAACTTCTTCCAAACCAACACTCAAATATATATATATATAGACATATTTCACAATACAAGTAAAACATAAAAAAAGTATTTGTTACAAGATTCTATGGACAACTATCCTTTCAAAGAAACTGTACTAAATATGTGTTTAAGAAAGTATGCCGCTAAAGGTGAGAACTGAGTATAAAGTATGTTTGAAGCTTTAATCTATTGAGTATCCAAGTCATTTACTTCAGGCTGTGCGAGTATACTAGCCCTAACACGAAAGTGTTATTAAATACCTTGATAACCTTTATGGCCTCATGGCTAGAGTTTTCTACTCGCAATCTGCGGGTCGTGAGTTCGAATCCCGTTACCGAACATACTTATCCTTTCAGTGATGTGGGCGTTATAATGTTACGGTTAATCCAACTAATCGTTAGTAAAAGAGTAGCCCAAAAGTTGGCGGAGGTTGGTATTGACTAGCTGCCTTCCGTCTAGCCCATCACTGCTAAATTAGAGACGGTTAGCGCAGATAGCTCTCGAGTAACTTTGCGCGAAATTTAAAACAAACAAACAATAACATCTACACTGATATAACAGAAATATGTATTTCGCGACGTGTGATGAAAATGTCCAACAGTTATGTTTTTCGCATCATACCTGGGTCACGTGAATAATCGCCAGTATACTCTCTGAACGGAAATCGTAAAAAGAAAAATCCACTAGTTTCTTTGTTGTTGAGCGCAAAGCTACAAAACAGGTTAACTGTGATCTGCCTACCATGGGTATCAAAACCCGAGTTTCAGCGTTATAAGTTGTCAAACTTACCATTGACCCATCAAGTGACAAATTCAGTTGAAAAATTTGAGATACAAGAAAAAATACCATTTAAATTTAATTACTTTAAAACCTTTTTATGAATAAAAACATATGATAAAACAAATAACTTACCGTACTTCACATCTTCTGTTCATATCGAGACACGATTTGTATTAAGAACACTTAGTTGAAAACAAGAGCTAGCAATCCAAGGCAACCAGCTCATATTAAGATCCCTACACCTACTGCTCAAAAGACAACAAACAAGCTAAAAATAGTTATTTTTGGAGCTATGACTGTTCTGTCTCACGTGCTAGCAAATCTTAATGCGGAAGAGGACTTGTGCTCCACCCATGCTCCCGATATTCAATTCGTGTTTTCTTTGCTTGGTGCTAAATGAATTTTAACTCTCGCTTGTGTTAGTTTTCACCCACACTTCTGTTAGCTCGCCTTCATTCCGAAATGGTTACTGTGATTAAATTTGTATAAACAAATAACTATTATTCTATAAAAACTGGTGCCTCTCTTTGGTCCCACATTTAACTCATTTAGTGGCAGCAATATCTTACAAATTAAAGAATAGATTCCAGCATATATAAAAACAAATTGTTTTTAATGAAACGTTAGGTTTTGTCCTTTAAATAATCCGATACTTAATCACTGCTACCTCCTATTAACAAAGTTAGGTAGTTACATTTTCTTATATTGAAAAACAATATCTGCTCCTCAGATAGCTGTAACCTCACGCTTTAAATGATCGAAATTTATTGAGATAATAAATTCCATTTCATAGAAAGAAAATGTACCTTTTTCGAGTATTCGTCAAAGAATAAAAACTCCAGGTACAGATAGCTCACACTTGGTGAATTATAGCTACGTATACCGTCCAATTTCTTGCCTTTCGTTTGAAAGTTTTGTCCTCTGATGAGTCAGCGGTAAGATTAAGGAAATGCAACAAAAAATCTGGGGTTCTATTACCTTCGTAGATAGCCATCCCATTGTGTAGCTTTGCGCTAAAAACAGCAACTTATTATTTTTAATACGAGTGTGTGTGCGTTGTTTTTATAGCAAAGCCTCATCTGCTGTGCCCACTGAGGGGAATCGAACCGCTGATTTTAGCGTTGTAATTCCTAAGACTTACCGCTGTACCACTGGAGGGATTTAATAAGTTTGTTTGCAATTAAACACAAAGCTATACAATGGGCTATTTGAGCTCTGCCCACCACGGGTATCGAAAACCGGTTTCTAGCGTTGTAAGTCCACAGACATGCCGCTGTACCATTTGGGGGGGTCTTTTTAATAAGAGGGTGGTTTTACGTAAGATTGTACAAAGTAAGATGAGCTAACTTGAAAAGAAAGCTTTAGA